GAAGGACGAAGTAGACAATTTGCAGGATATTTCGAAATACTGAACTGAGTTAAACTGATAAAGCCAGCGCATGTGATGTTTTCAAGCTCGTAATTTCCTATGGAAACGACCTATAATTAACGCAATTCTATGATGATGTATCAATACGTCTGAAATTTGTACAAACTTTCGATCTAAGGTCTAGCAATATTTCCTTGACAATTCAATGAGTAATCCTAAATGACACAAACCAAAAGTTATGGTCAAAATAAATCCGCCAGTAATATCCAAAACCTTCTACACCACACGAAACACATCAAATCATGCATATCGTAATACGTACTAAGATGAAAAACGACACAGTTTAAGGAGCAGTTTCAATTTTCACTTCAATATGAGTTCAAAAATAAAGAGACATTTTCTCCTTTAAATCCAAAACCACCAATAAACACTTTGAAAAGAGCTAACATACAATAAGGAAAGAAAACAAAACAAAGTAAAAAATGGGGCCGTATGAGTCAATTACTAAACAGATGTGAAATTGAAATCGAAATTTTAAATAATGAGAGAAAAGGAAAAAGGGAATAAAACATCTCATTTTTCTAAGGCACAAAAATTTCTAAAAGAAATGATAGTTAAAATCATGTGAGAGTTACTTAATGAGTACAATATACAAATGGGAAAAAAGCATTTGATCGAGGAACATAAATCATCTATGGCTGTAATTGTTAAAGTTACGTCAAAAAGAACACACTTAGACAAGAAAAGATGGAAGAGTAAGTGAGGAGAAAAAAAGGGAAAAAAGTTAGGAAGAGATTTTAGGAATAAAAATGTTCATTCTTAACGGAAAAAATGAGACAGAGAAGAAGATGGAAAACTTTTGCTAAAGCATGAACTGAAAAGAAATGAAGTAGTGAAAGAATACGATGCATCAGGATATCACTCTAAATACTTCCAAGTGGAGGAGAAAGTGGAGAAGAGGAAAAGAAGCTATCCTGTATGTTAAGCATAGTTCGAGTTCCAAAAGCTCGGGCTTAATTCTAAGTTGCTTTATCATGCTTCCTCCATTCTCTAACATTTTCCAGTTAATCATTCTTCCTGCTACCACTCCCACTTACAACTCCTCAACATTCCTAAGACTCTCCTGTAAGCTAAACACAATTTTCTTTGTTTGCTCACCTATTTTGAGCTAAAATTAGAAAATGTCTTATATCGTTAGTTCGGAATACTTTCGATCATTCTATCATTAAATTTGTTCACTCGTTTACAGCACAAAAAAGATCAAAACAAATGGAAATTCATCATTTGAGTGATTGAAAACTCCATTCCTGAAGACTAGTTTATTTAGGACTATTGATAGATTCCAATCCCTATGAAAGCGAATAGACATCCTATATGTCCCACACAGGCAAAACAATTACGTAATAGCGATGATGAAGAGAAGCTGAAGTTAATGGACTGAAATTTTAAGAGAAAATTTTGGATTGAAAAAGATAAAATGCAATAGAAATGCGCATATTAAAAAGTGAAAACGATAAACACCGACTTAAATGAAACCGCGGCAAATCCTTTCTTTAATCGCATATACATGATTATGGTCAGAAAAGTGCAAAACCTGTTAAGGCCTAAGTACTTATTTATTCAAATCCGTGCCAAATTTTCACTCTAACGTAAATTAAATGAACTATGTTGGCTATCAGCTTCAGATCCATGATGACACTTATTCAATATTAAAATTTCGTTTTCGTTACCGAGAGAAATACCATAACTGTCCGATTAGGTACTATCATGTCTATAGTAGGCTATGCCATTACACATCTCACGGGCTGACATGTCTGGACTATAAGGCATGCTCAACATAAATTATCGTTCTCTTCAGAGGTAGGTGAATCGAAGAGAAGTTATCTGATATGCCTAAGGTTACAACTCTCCAAATATCTAACTTTTTTAATCCTAATTTTAAGTAAATAAACCGTGCATAACCTGCAGAAAGATTACAAATTTTACTTTCTGAAAGTCGAATTTCCGAAAATTAAAATGTCTCTTAAAACACATCGTTCATGATAAATAAAGACCTGAAGCACTAAAAAAATTTAAAAGAAATGAAAATTAAAAATTATCCCAGCTCAATCCAATTCACCCAGAATAAAGAACAAAACACTCATAAATATAATATCCATACCGATCGATATGATACAAACTTCCGGGTTTGCATTACACTCAAAATCCATCATGCCTGAAACTTGTAAATCATCAACGATTCAGCAGGGAAGATAGAACAGCAGGTAAATAGTAGTATAAAATTAAACAATTTATATAACTTCAATTTCCTTGGTACTCATTCTGATTTCTGGTTACAAGGAAAGAGAAAGGAAACATTAAATATGCAGTAAGCGTCAAATTCAAACCATCGTTATTCTGGTTGTTATAGGAATTTGTTCCCATTGCATCATCCATTTCAAGTATGGTACTGTTAAAATTCTTGCAAGCGTTACCATCTTCATCCTCGGTTGCTTCTTCCATATCAATTGGATCATCAACCTTCATTGTCTTCACTTCCTCTTTCACAATCCCCCAAGCAAAATTTCTGCAAAAACGATCCAGATGGAGCAAATTAATTAAATTCACAGAAAGCACGGTTGTGTTGACGACAATTTATCTTAAAAATTTTTGATCTAATGTTATCAAACTCATAATAAGCAACCGAACACGAACTTATCATCACTATGTTAACTATACATGACATTCTGACTTATTTCCAGTTAGTTTGATTAGTTATCACCCATGTAACTATCAGAACCATTTAACTTGTATGAAGAACGTTTACGATAGATAGATGGAAAAGCTTACATTACTGGCTTGCATGAAACTTTTGCGAAAGTTCATTTTTGATATATTGACGAATCCTAACGGATAAACATATTTATAACCTATGCGAATTTTTTGTAGATCAACCAATCCTTCCATCCTATCTAATCGTGACTATTCTATATGAGATAAAGCTACGCTCCTAACTGTACTAAATTATATATTCAAACAGAAGTAACAATAATCAATAGTAACATCATTACGACTTTTTGCAGCAAGAGAATTGTCATAAAGCGAGAGAAATAAATGGTCTTGGCGCGAAGATTCGGCATAGTTTGGTACTATAATTCCAATATCAAAAAGCGATGACATTAATGACATCAATGAAGAAAATGAGAACTAATTTCGCATTAGGAAACCTCTAATAACACTGATAATAATGCCTAATAACCAGAGAAAATTTTCCATCAATCGTCAATCACTATCAATTCTTTTTCAACTGAAATGCCGAAAACTGTTAGAAACAAATCTTTGATCCGGTTCTCAACATTTTCCAATTCATTCATACACCCATCAATAATTGATCGATCTGATCACCATATGATAATAATCTATTCTATATATGCATTATGTTATCAACAAAAGGGAAAAGAAAATTTTACTTCTAATTTAACTAAACTTGGAATTGAATTATATTTTGAGTAAAAAAATTAAACTGAATTAATTTCCAAATAAAATGTAACACAACAAATGATACAAACTAATCTCTAATATGTTTTATAAGTGGCACTTAATAATAAAACTAAAAACAATATGTGAAAGATAGCATGTCCCAATAAAGTACTCAATTCAAGTTCGTAATATCTTAACAATGCAATGATTTTGCTTCTTTTAATTTTAGCAAAAATTTTTGCTCAAATTAAAATGCTTAATGAATAAATAAGCAATTTGCTAATTAGCAAAGAAGGGTTGAAAAAATAGAATTCGAAGTTTTCAGAAATGAAAACTTCAAAACTTTAAACTTCAAGAAATGAAAACTTCAGAGAAGTCAGAAATGAAATATAAATAACCTAACCTATTTTCTCTATCAAATATCACTAAATAAAGTACTTATTTTGCTACTTTTTCAACGACGTATATGCGAAACGTATGCAAATATATATAACGAAGTCTATTAAGAGAATGATTAAGCTAGATATTTTCACATATAAAATTATGTGAGTGTAACGAAAAAGCATAAATAGTGTGAAGATGACCCCGAAAAAAAATCGAACAATTTATATCGATCGATATTTTTCATTTCAAATTACATAAAAAAAAAGATCAGTAAGATTCATTGGAATGAAATAAACATATCAAGAATGCAAACGATGAGTAATTTAAAAGACGTGTAATACGCCGAACAGTACATATACTCGCGCATATCTATATATTTATATAGCATGCATACACATACATGGGCATTCACACATGGCACACACTTACACAGACACAGACAGATACATACACACATACACACATACACACACACATACACACACACTTTCACAGGAATCGATTTGTCCGAAGCGAATATACAGAATGCATTATGCTTGCTTGGAGGCATTAATAGTGACGTGATTGATTTCATCAAGAGATTGAAATGGCCTAATCACGTTCACGTATGAGACAGCGCAATAAAAGACAGAGACGTTGATTGATATGCTATTTAACATTCGCTTACACGAATAGTTTTCTACGATTGATTTATGTCAAAGTGAAATGGATGAGAGGAGTTGAAATTAGGGATAGTCTTTTTCACTTTATAATCCCGAAATAGACGTACGACGTACGATCTTTTCGATGCACTCAAATTGACATAACGCATGTTAAATGAAACGTACACATTTGATGTCTTGATGGTAAAATCCGGACAGTAATTAGTGGTTGGACAGGAAAATGTTACCATATTGACTAGGGCTAATTTAGTGCTATGACTTATTAATGATTTATCTTTATATATTAATTTCAGATTTTATTCAGTTGGGATTAATTGTTTTATCGATTTAAATGGTACCAGATGAAACTAAATTTATGTATCGGTTTAAATGTGGTACTATGACGTATTAATGATTTATCTTTCTTTTCGCGTATATAACGAAAATTAAAGAAATCAATGTTAATTTATTCCAGGCGTTTTGGACGTGGATAAAAGATAAGTGAAAAGATCTATAATGACATCAAAATTTGGACTTGATTACGCGAAACGGGTTGCCAAATGTAAGAAGTGTCAGCAGCAATTGTTCAAAGGAGTATGTTGTATGTTTGCATTCCTAACGCTAACGTTAACATGGACATAGAGGGAAACATGTATTTTCACATTTTAGGCCTTTGTTTTCGAATGTTTAGGAGTGTAAATTACGAACGAAATAGTATTCTCCCATATTCTTTTACACGCATATGGCTATAATTTATTGTCGAATTTTGAGATTAGTCCCTTCAGCAAGACTTCCAATGATGTATTTGTTTAGATTATTTAACTACTCATAATTAACTGGAATGTTTAATTTTATCCATTTAGCAGATTTAATGAATTTCATTTAATTAGAAAAAGAAAGTGCTGATTAAAGCAAGTTTTGTGAATCAGCATTTTGAGCTTCTTATTCATTTTTCCCTAGGATTTACGAATGTGGAGAATGGTGCCCAATCCTTTTACAGCAGATTCTGGAAATCCAACGGAAATGAAAAATTATTTTCACGCAGATTGCCTTTTCGAAACACTTACGCGCTGCCGCGCTACAACGAAAGTCATCGATTCACCGGATGATATTGAAGGTTCCTCAAAATTAACTATTGTTTTTTGTCTTAAAACTTTTTTACTTTCTCTTTTCTAGCAGAAGATCTTGCAGGTTGGGATGCTGCAAACGATGATGACAAAGAAACCATTTTGGAGAAAATTAAGAATCTTTCGGAATTACGACTGAAAAAGTTTGGAAGTGAAGTGAAGACTTCAACATCATCTCCTTCAAAAGATATGCCTAAACCAGCTGCACCGAAGGATACATCTTCGAGAAAATCAAAAAATGAAAAAGTGAAAACGGTTACTTCTACTCGAAAGAAACCAAAATATGAAACTTTCGAGCAAGATCAGGAGGAAATAACTTCTGAAAAAGTTGATGACAGCAAAACAAACGTTTCCAACATGAAAAGCGAGCCATCAAGAGTAGAAATCTTGGAAGTAAGTAAAACAGAGGATAGTATTCAGAAAACGGGAAGCAAATTCGATGTGTTCAAATTGTTTTGCAAGCTTTGTGATGTGATTGCATCAGTATCGAAGTACACCGAAAAGACTGCAGCTGTTAAGATATTCATTAACAAAGGTACGATTAAATTGTATATATATATGTATATGTTAGTTTGTTTTCCAGCATAAAAGTTTCTGATCATATGGAAGAATTTTATTAAAAAAATCTTTTATAAATTCATGGGGGTGAAATTTGGATGTTCCATGCAAGCTTTGTGTTTCTTTGACATCTGTTCTTGATTTTTACATTTCCATGGGCGAAAAATTCGCTCCCTTCGTTACTTATTGGAGTCACATTTCAGTTAATGTTATCACTCATTTGAGTGGCGTTTCGATTGCATTAATTTTTTATCAATGTTTGAAAAATCGACTGAATTTAAATTTTTAATCAGATAGGATTATTCATTTCAGAAGGATATGATGGCGATTTGTATGTGTTGCTCAAATTTTTAATTCGAGAAGCAGACCAGAGAGTATATAATTTGAAAGCAAAGCAGATTATAAACATCTTTTCTGCTGTAAGTATAAAGATTCAAATTTTATTTTTGTGCTCTATTATCAACTGAACTTTTGGACGTGAACAACAGAGAGCAATGAATGCTCGGTCACCAAGGCCAACTATACTAGCTCAGTTCCAACATGTTTATCTTTTCTGTATT